TCGCCTATATTATGTTATTACTAGCAAAGCCGTTTATAAATATGCGATATATTTGTGTGCGACGCGACGCTGCCGGGGGCACCTTCCGTGTAGTGGACTGGTCTCACTACTTATACTATTACTATAATATAATATAATAAGAAAATATACTAACGGCAGCTTGACCTTGCGCGGCCGCCACTCGCGTGTATTATTTCTACACAATATGTATGTTATTATTTATTTATTTTAACGTTGCCGGATACTCTCATTTTCCAAAAAATAAACACAATTATAATATCATTAATTCTATTCCATATCTAGGGTGAAAAAAACAAAAAGTTCTCAGCCAATGGCGAGGATTTAGACCCTCCCCCCCTTCGATTTTGCGCCTGTTTTTAAATGTTGTGTTGAACAATAGGGGTTTTTTTTGTTATGTATCTTGTAAATAATAATAATTGTATTGTTTGCGATCGGCAAGCGTTTAACACAATCGCAGACGACCGATGCACTCTTATACGGTTAAATAATAATGTTGCAGGTACCTTAGGAATTTCAATAATTATTTACTTATTTTTTTTTTTTGGCAACCGGTCGTCACAGAACGGAAGATTCTAGATGATGGTCCGAGATAGACACCAAAACTACACTAATAGGTATGTAGATGGTTCGTGAGAGATTATTATTAGTGCGCGAGGGTCTCAGGCGTATATAACAGCGGCTTTATGTGTATATAATAATATATACATTTATAGGTATAATACTATAGTATACAACAAAGATAAATGCGATGATGAGAAATGAAGACGTCCCAGGTAGTGTGTGCGGGCTGCTGCCGTTTACCTTTTTTTTCTCTCTTGTGGTCACCACTTTCAACATAAATAATTATGTACGGTAAAACAAACAATCCCCACTGTGCTGGTGCTGTTAATGCTGCCTGCCTTGTACACCCATGTAATCCGCGTGTAATTTTTTTAATTTATATATTTCAATTTTTAAAAAAAACTCCTTGTTATTAAAAAAAAATAATAATAATAATATAAATAAACCCTTGAACACATTTAATGGATAACGTAAACGACACCGAGGAATGTTGCTTAGTTTGGCCATCGGTCGCGCTGTAATTTGAAAAACAAGGGTTTTTTATAACCCATTACACACAACGCTCCCTGTATAATAGGTATTTATAATAGAATGTTTTCCTTAAAAAAAAAACAAAGAACGAATCAATTATACATTTTTTTTTTATGTATATATTACTAAAATTATTATAATAATAATACACTACCGGTATCGACGTTTTTTCAATAATAATATTATTTTAACGTGTTGTCAATATAATATTTGCATATTATTATTAGATTTGTTTTCAATATTAATTTCAGTTTTATGATTATAATGAATAATCAGTAGACATTATGCCACGGCTATCGTATATACTTGCATGACAAACGGCCAAAGGATAAATTAATGTTAGTCGTTTTAAGAATTTCATGTTCCTTATTTTTTTTTAGCTATATATTATATATGTGTACATACCTAATTATGTACAATTTAAATAAAATTAATCTAAACAAGTAAATACGTTTATATTTACCCGAATATAAACAATTGATTAGCAGTGCCGGTAACAGCACAAGTTGGTTTTAGTTGGGTTAGTGCCTTTTATGTAATTGATGTCCAAGTATAATATATTATATTTAATTGCCAATTTAAAAATAAATCTATTGCGGGGCGCATAGTCTGTAAAAAAAAAAAGATCAAGCAGGTTTGGGTCCCCATCCAACCCTGATCGGTAAACTAGATTGTATTGGATTGTAAAATAACGTAATATTATATACATTTTTATCCAGACATAAATAATAAATCATATTACATTTATTATTATAATATAACTAATGTAGGAAGGCCGTAAAATGTGCGTTAAAGTATTTTATCGTGTCATTGATCAACAAACGATGAGTGAAAAATATACTAAACATATAATATATAGGTATGGATATATTATTTCTCGTTACATGAGTGATAATTATTATAAAAATCCCGAGTGAAACACGGTTTAAATAAAATATAAAGATATAATAAGTACCTATATGCTTTACAAGTTTAGAAAATATTAAAAACGTTCAAGTTAGCAAACGTGCATTGCTGGCTGCGGCGCTTAATTTATACTGTAAAATGTTTATGGTAAGTGCGCAACTCATGTTATACAAGTACATACAACTTTATCTACAATCGTTTAGACGATCAAGAGTTATGAAAACATGTATTAATTTATGTCCCATCCGAACAAAAAATAAAAATAAATAAAAAAAGTAATTAACTATACACATTTTTAACGATTTTAAACATAATATTTTTACGACTTTGGCGTGCCTATAATACATTTTCTATTTAAACTTTATATAACGATAAGCATAAAATCAATAAGAGCCGTTGCGCGTTTAATGATAAATTTTATAATTGCTCGTGCTGTATTATAACGTCTATAGTGTAAAATAATAATAATTATCTTTTATTATACCAAATGGTTTATTAATCGCGCGCTTTCTTTGCATTTGTCGACGGGTCGTTAAGTATATTGTTATATACTTTTGGTGTCTTATTTTCTTTTGTTTCCATACAACTTTAACGAGGATATACATACAATACATCTTATAAACTGTAATTATTCTTATGTATATAGTATATACAATTGGCTAATTGCTCGACAAGAAACCTTTTTTTTTTAACTTCTCTAAATTATACGTCTGTAGTAGCTATAAACTGGCTTAGCTTTTTTTCTTTTATTCTATTTTCCGCCAATAAAACTTCTGTACACAAAAAACGTGCAATAAACAATTTTCAATGAAATTATAAAAGTGTTCTTAATGGAATTTCCAGACGTCTGCATATAATATACATATTATATTATCATTATTGTATAGGAATGTTTTTTTACACACACACAAACGAGGAGGCTCAGTTTTACGACTCCTCGTCCCTTATAATATATTATTGTAGTATGTTGGAGGTCCGTCTAGCGACCGCTATTTTGTAAACGGGTATTGGCACTGGGTAAGCCATGGTCGGAAAACCGAATACCAAATGTTGTTTAATTATATATTATATTGTATTAAATTGTCGAAGCTGAACATCTGATAGTCGCCAATTTTTATTTGCCGTTTCTTTGACAGTTTTTCCGTTAATAAAGTAATTAAAGTCGACTTTATATATATATATATATTATGTGGATACTAAAAAAAAAATTATCATCATGGGGGCGTGATGGCGGCGTCCTCCTTGGAATGCCCTGCAAAGAGTCTCCAACCAAACCTGACCCGGTCTAATGATATAATAAAACATAATATATACACTCGGTGTCGGTCACATTACACATAATATATTATAAATTATATTGTACATGAGACTGAAAATGAAAAAACATACCGCGGAGTGTTGTTAATTAAATATAGAATAAAAGTATGATAATTAACCGGTACATACATACTATATGCTGTGTGTAAGGTGTATTCTGCATAATGTATTTATCGAGGGTACAACAACAAAGGGTGTGACGAATTTGGTAATTAATATTTTTTTCTCTTCTTCTCTGGGCCGCGTTCGAAAACTTTTAAGTGTTCCGACTTTGTGTGTAGTACCTACACATTGTGTTCTAGGTCGCATAATGATATATAATGTATACATGTATACACATTGAAATGGTATTTCACAGTTGCCGACAAAATCCTTCCAATTACTTTGGACAAATCCGCTCGGTCTACATATAATAGTAATTATGATTTACAGACGGGTCTGTTTTTTATTTTATCCTTTGATACCGTGAGAACCGATCGTTGTGCCTTTAAAATACGTACGATGCTAATAATTCGGCCTCAGGTCAAAATAACAATAGTTTAAATCGTACCTTTATTATTATTATTATTATGTGTATCGAAACAATTGATTTTTTACGAGACGAGTACCTATTTTTTTTTAACACCCAGTACACAAGTGGTTTATAGTATCTACTCTTGGTCTCATCGAATCGCTCAACCCTTTTTTATAGTTGCCTCGAAAATGTCAGTAACCAAACTGACGTAGCCCCCATAGTTGTTGAGCTTGGATCTTGATGGATCTAAAGTCTATTATTACACTCAAACCCACCCTCCCTCCGCCTGTAGCTACACCAGAGGTGAGCACTAGTCGAATTGACATTACCTTGGTGGTTGGAAAACCGAAAATAAAAAAAAATGACGGATTATCAAATTTGATAATCTTTGGCAGAGTTACTTGTGATATTGGTTTGCAATATTACGCATATTGGTATACTGAAATGAACTACGTGTGCCACACAATATAAATACAGAACAGAACGGATGATGACGTCATCGATACGGAAACATGAGAGTAGCACTTGATGATTCACCCGGAAATTCATTACCGAGTAATTATTATACTCTTAGAGATACGGACGAAATCAGACTATTTACATAAGTAGACTATATAGTAAAACGTTAAAAACGTCGATAGCTTTTCTTGGAAATCAACAAGTCTTCGTTTGTGAACATTTTTTATGTCTATACCTTACAGTTTTACAGTGAAATCGAATTGGATTTCGTTGAAAAACGTTATTGAAACAGAGTTATTTAATCACAGCCTATAAGTTGTATTCATTCGGTTGCCACATTTAAAGAAAAAACTCATCAAAATCATATTAAACTTACCGAAAAGTATTGGGAGTAGGTTGTCATCAGTTTGTACGCTTAACGGCAGTAATAGACAAGAAGCACACTTAGTGGTAATGACTTCCTAAATTCTTGTGCTACAGGGCTCAAACATTATATGAAAAGTCGCAGAAAGTTCTGCTGCGAGTTGATATGTAGGTTTACACTTTAGTTATGATATGCAGTTAGTTTGTAATATTATTTTCCAAGGTGAAAAGAAACGCACAACTTTTTGTACGGGTAGTTATTTACTTAATATTATCATCGACGCAAACAGTTTTGGGTGAAATATAATACGTCATAAATAAAACTTACCTCTTAGTTGATTGGCGAACAACTCGATCGGCATCAGCAGCCAAAATACGGCGGTGGCAACCAGAATTATTCGGCTGCGATCCATGTCGCTGCTGGTGATCCTGTAAACAGAAAAGGCTTATGTCAATTTATAACGCTTCTGATAATACATACAAATAATTATCGTGTCTACAGACAAAAAAAAACACACCATCATAAAACTAAATCAAAGCTAAAACTACGAAAACTCGATCACGCAGGATACCAAGAGTTCAACAGACAAGTATATTACACGTTTATATTATTATTATTAGTATGCAGATATATTACTAAATGTATTGATCAATATGCATATGTATATGATAATAATATTTTTTATAGCTTATAATGTTTATCCGATAATTTATGAATGGTCGTAGATAACCGCGTGCCAAGTGGAGCTAAGTTAGTTTTTTTTGACACGCAAGGGTCGAACGACTTGCCCTTTTGCGTCAACAACCTTGAAGCCGACGTTCAGTACAAAAACCCCATAAGACAACATATGAGGTGTCTGTTTTCAAAACCAGCTAAAAGCAATTTCTGAAAATGTTAACAAATAATTTCTTTGGATGCGCGATTTTGAAACCAACCACGATTTTCCCAACAAAGTTTGAGTTGATTTAGTTAATTTTTATTTGGTATTCACAGTTTTACATATCGTGTAATACAGTGTAGCCACATAAAAGAAACCCGTTTTCAAATTGTCTTATATATATATTTATATATATCCTACAATTTGATGAAAAGTATCATACATTATTATTTTCTAATACGGCGTACACGGCGCGAGCATGTGTACTTATGTATTTTATATCCAAAATAAAAAAAAACAAACCTCGTAAACCACTCAAACTCGTTGATGTTGTTGCCATAAATCAAAACTGGTCTATCTAATATAAATATTTCTCGAAAAAAAAAAAATAACAAATAATACATGTAAAACAAAAATGTCTGAGACGTACTAGTTTATTTGTTACACTCCCGTATATTGGTATATATTCCGTTTATATATCCCAGTAAATGTTGATATAAAAACTACACTGAACCAGATAGTATTTGTAAAAATGATGATACGAATTTTAAAACGTCTAGGATATTCATAAACATCCGGTTTGATCAATAATTTTATTCATCTATGTAAATAACAAACAATTGAAAACCACAAAGCAAAAACGATGAGCCGCACATGTAGTTTAAATGGAAGGCTCATTATTATTGCCTTGTGGTCTTCGATTTTTAATTAAAACAAATCCTCAATTAATTATCTATAAATTAACAATTATGATAGTAATTCTCCTAACAAACAAATTATATTAATAATAATATATTGGTATTAACAGTGTTAGGTATATTATTAAATATTTTGTTGGTCATATGCTGATAAACATTTTTAAAACAATCAACGGCGATTTTTGTTTAATTTACTGGAGGATTTGGTGTAGTAAATAGTTTATGTACTTATGTTTGTTTTTTCTTAATTTTCGCCCCGTTATAGACGATACAGTGAATGAAAAATACAATTTCTAGTTAATGTAAAATATGAAATTCAGATACATGTTATTTTAATTTTACAGGGCTAAATTCCGGAGAGCCGACACACCTTGTATTGTAATAACATTGTATTATTGTTTGTCCGGTGGAGGCAACCCATGCGAGATTTTACGGTTTATAATTCCATTATAGACATCTAAACGCTGAATTTGGCCTTTTTTCATTTATTTTCCTCAAAAAAAAAAAAGTATATATAATATACTTAAGCGATTTTTGTACCAAGATGTCATAGTGAATTCGTCCGTCTTTCTAATACAAAAAATGTATCCACTAACTATATAAGTTATAAAATTAGTGGATGCATTTTTTATACGTTTTTATACTATTCGTTATATAATATAACAATTAGTTATGCTTCTATCTGATACATAGAATGTCTTTTAATATTAATTAATTAATCGGATTACTGATTAATATGTCTACACTACACAAAATCCAAAAAATAATTGTTTAACTATTTTACTTAATTTAATATTTTATTTGTAAAAAACTTGCATATGAATAGTAGTATGAATATTTTTACAGTACAAATTAAAACGAAAATTATTGTTTATACTAGCCCGTTATGCGTTAAGTAAAATAAAGAATTAAACAAATGGTAAAACATGTTGGTTTTTATTAGTATTCCACATTGAAAATTTAGATTTTTGACAACGAAGACATTTTTATTTTACAGTGATAATACTTAAAAGATATAATCAGATCACTTGACTATTTGCCATGCCATTAAACTTAAATAATATTTACAATATTTTAACATTAAACACTATCTAGGAAATAGAAGACAGGGAGGAATGGAGGAGAATCGTAGGAAGGCAATACCAGTCGGAAGACTGAAAAACCTAAAGAAGAACAACATTAAAAAAAACCAATTACAATTTATAGGATTTAGTTTATATTTAGCTATAAACTTTTTATGATAATTATTTATACTGTTATAGATTATAGGTCAACTAATTATATTAATTCAGAGGCCGTGTGACTTATCACGATATTGTTACACGTATAGTTGAAACAAATCTATATTCTTGATAATTTAATTTTAATTATTAAGATAATACAAATTGGAATTAATTGTTCGTTAATTTGTTTATAATCGATTTATTCAATTTAATGAAATTGTCCGTACGGTGTCAGAGCCAATTACTATATGTATTAAAGTTAATGAGTAATGTGTGTGTAAATTTGTGGTAGTAGTTCACAGTTGAACTATATTATAGTAGGTAGGTATATACATACCTACTATATTACTGTATAACTGTTAGAGCTTGTTAGTTCAGCATTATCATAGCCCATGGAGCTAATAATATTATAGTATGCAATTTCAAGATATTATAATATTCAATTAAATAATCAAGTTTAGAATTTTTAATAACATTCATTTTCTATGATGCTCTCTTTAATTGGTTTCTTAAAAATATTTAGTGTTAGGTGTGGATAATATCTACATTACAATAGTTCAACAATATAGTGAACACAGGGTATGATAGCATCACCAAAGACAATCACTTTCGGTGGCTTAGAGCCAAATTTGATTCACTGACGTGGCCCAGATTTGACCGAGGGTAGGCAAACAATATGAGTATATTATATTACAATGTGTTTGCTTGGATAAATTATCATGTTAGGATATTCAAGATAGTCATTTATAAAAACGGGGAGTGTTTTTCGATTATATTTTATCCGAAAATAAATTCATCGCAATCTGTAACATTAGATCCGTAGAACTCACATTTGAATAGCCTTAACATTGGTTGAACACGATTAACAGATTTGGTACACACGGATAATATTTATATACCAGAACAAATTGCCCTCGTTAGCTTTTTGAGGCAAAAAACAAAAATTGAGTAATTGGGTAATAATTGTTTTACCCGGAACGCAAAAAGCAGATTAGATAAATAGTTTTTTTTTTTTGAAAACACGACTTGAATATTAACAATGTTTCCATTTTTTTTTCTATTCTATGTTGTCGATGAATTATTTGCTAACGTTTGTTAAGTGGAAATCTCGTTACACGATAAATAATAATAACAACTATACGTTATTATAATTTTATAATGACCACCCACTTCGTATTTTCTCAGCGACCAGTCCGCTTACAAACAAAAACCAAGAGTTATGTGGATAATTATTGCTGTTATGATATAATGATTAAATTATGTTTTTAGAAAATAATTGCAATTTGTATATACCTATATATCTTCATATACCTTTTATATACCTAGACCTTCATAATTTTAAATATTATTAACATAAGCCTTTTGATTGTGTAATTTTCTGATTGAGCACGGTAATGTTGCGGATAAAATCTCAGTAAATTACCGATAAACTTTTTAAATTGTTTTTACAAAATATAATAATAAATTATACTCTTGTATAACTTATTGTTATAGGTAAACAATACTAGATATTCTCAAATTTCCAAAAATTCTAATAGCTCATACAATATTCTATGACTAATTTATAGGCAATTTTTATAATACAATAAATATTTTGAATGATCAATTATTTCAATTTTTTAAAGTCCTGAAGATTGATTGTATTTTAACTTGTTCATAAACCATCTTTATTCTTAAAACTTTAAGAGAAATTTTATTCAAAAATTTCCAATAAATTTGTCATAATAATTATCAAGTTTTTTTTTTGTTAGGAAGTGTTATTATTATGATATAAAATATATTACTTAATATATTCACTAGACTTCACTAAACAATTTAAAGGGATGCATTTGTTTCTACGTATAAGACTTCGAAAATCCTTGAATGTATTGTTTAGCTGCTTAGCTTTCAGAAAAAATGAGTGTACTAATTTTAATTAAACTGTATTAAAATGCATACGCCCATTGTAATAACAACTAATGTCGAAAAAATAATTAACATAAGCTATAGGGAAAACATTTGTTACGTAAAACCCTATAACTTTATAAAATCAACAGTCACGTTTATGTTAAAAACAATTATATTTCACAATGTTCGAAACTGTTGTGAATATAAGATAATAGAAGCACAACTTTTTCCGTGTTGAACAAGTAAAAATATAATTTCTGCGACTAATTGGAAATACCTTTGAACACCTAAGTGATGAAATATGTGAAATCGGCACATGCGATAGTTCATCTATTTGCAATTGATGGTTATTTTATTTCTGGAATTTATTTGATGCATTTTTTCAATTATAATACTAATAATGACGTTTACAGTAAATTGTAGATAACAATGTAGAAATGTAGTGTACAGATAAAAAATTGAAGACCCACGCATCGAACTCGCGCACGTGAGCTTACAATCTAGATGTACATAAGTCGCGCGCGATAACGTTAAACGGGGAAAAGTTTTTAAAAACTATACATCGTAAATACCCCTTATGAATGTTTATCGAATTTCGGTTTGTTTCCGAAACGAAATTTTTAATGAATTCTCTTGTTTACGACAAATATAGACAGTGCTATTACAATAACTTTATAAATAACGTGGGTGTATCAAGAAATATAAAAAATACATACTCCGCATCAAAAAATTAGCATAAACTA